TTATAAACGTTCATGGTAGAAAAATATACTAGAAATAGTAAAAATGCCAGTGAATTATATTGCTTGCTGTCACAGTGCTGTCAAAAATGAAAGGAAGGTGTGCTCAGTCATGTGATTTTGGATCATTTCAAATGAGCTCAAGGTGATATCCTGTCAAAGGGTTGAAATATCTTATTGCTGTATAGGTAATCTCATCATCAGTATTTCAAATGTTTAAAACTAAACTGATTAAAAACAATGAATATACCATACTATTGAAACAACAAAACCATATTCCCTTCATTTTTATAAATATATATATAACCACTTGTTGGCAGTTGATCATTATCAAGCACACTGTGTACTGACGTCATTTGAAATTATATTCCAATGCTAGTTATTATTTTACATGCCACTCGAGACCTCTGGTCTAAGTTTGAATTGTGGAATTTATAAACATTTACAATAAAAATGTAGAGAGGAGATTTGTTGTGTTGATAGTACTTAAGAAAGGTTATAACGAAGATCAACTTGCATGTGCTACTCACTCTAAAAGTTTTATATTTAAAAGACATGATACAAGAGTCAATTCATTGATCATTGTATTTTGATCCGTGCATTATACCTTGTTGGCTTGTTGACAAATTGCTGTAAATATGGTACAATGTGTTGATTTAAATAGAGATATTTTCTATTCCTTGCAAAGGGCTGAAGATTGTTGATGTCAACTTGCCATAATACACAGATCAACGTTTGTAAAATGTCAATAAAAGTTTGTGAGTCATCAACAATAACTGGGATTGTTTAGACAGAGAAGTTAAAGCGACTGTCACTGATATTCTTTAGAAAGAGAAGTGAATCAAACTAACTATACATTGGACATTATTTTCGTTCACTGCAAGATCTCAGGTAATGTGCTAAAGATGTGGGTTGAAAATCAGCTGCAAAAATCAAATAATTTGATCTAAAATTTGAATTTTGACATATCTGTACTTATCATAATTGACCATTTTATAAAAAAAATAGTTTTGAGTTAAATTATATGTGATATTTTGAATGATGCCACTAAGTTGTTTGGGCTAATCTGCACTGGCTCGGAAGGTTGTAAATGATTAGCTAGTTTGAATTTCTAATTTGCATAACATTACTGAGAATGAATGTGCATTCAACGCCACAAGTCTTTTGTTTTTTTAGCCAATCAGAATTCATCTTCCGAGCCAGTGCAGATCAGCAGAAATGTTTGTTCTGTTATACATTCCATTTCAAGCATAACACGAATCTCGCAGTAAACGGAAACAGTCTATTATAGCATCACAATAGACAGCAAAAATGATTCATAATTATGATGGCAGATATAAAGCATGGTAATGATGTGAACAAACCTTCACATCTCTGTGTTTGGGTGTCATACTGCAATCCAATATCACAGAGGTTTTGACGTTGACATCGGTAGGCACCGGGAGTGTTGATACATTGTAAACTTCCACACGGACTGCCCAGTTCTATACATTCATCAACATCTAGCAAAAAAAAAATACAATTTTGTAAAATTTCTGAATATGTACGCATGACACAAGAAATGATGTAGACAGCACTGTTAACTCGAATTAACACATCATCTTCGTTTGGCTATCCGTGAAAGCTTCCAGCATGTGATGTGTTAAAAAAGATTGGAGCATCTATATACACCAGATTTTAATCTTAGTCTTACTTTAATAGTACACTTACCATCACATTTGTTTGTCAATGTATTATAAAGGTAACCAGGGTCACACCTCCCAACATTAGACCCAGCTTCACAATGAAATGACCCAACGATATTGACACAGTTTTCCCCTGGTTGGCAGTTGTCTATACCAGTTGTACACTCATTAATATCTACAAAGAGAGAAGAGTGTGATAATCAGTGTTAACTCTTATTCGATATGATGCATCATTGATGCAGAAAGATTTGCTGTGATGCAACTAGTTGTGCCTATTCACCAGTGCATCATTGATGCAGAAAGATTTGTTGTGATGCAACAAGTTGTGCCTATTCACCAGTGCATCATTGATGCAGAAAGATTTGCTATGATGCAACTAA